AATATCAGTGGCGCCAGTAAACACCATATATTAAAATCATGAACGCATTCTTTCGTATACATTTATATATATTATATACTTCACCCCTTCGATAATTCTCCGATCAAGACGTTTGGTAAGAACAAAACCATAAATTAGGTACTTTTGTCACACAGCACAAAATAATAAAATATATCAATACTTTAATATTAATCATATTATATAATATTAAATATTAATCGATGCACAAGAAGAAGGGATCAACCAAAATCATATTATATAAGGACCACAGAGAATCGACTCGACGCCAGTGTCCATTCCGGAGATACACATGGTCCACGCCAGTCAACATCATGACACTCTTCCACTCAGGGGCGGACTGGGAGATTGTCAGCCCAGGGGGAAATACAGCTTAGCTGCAGTAAATATTTTACTATATATTATTACTATTTCAGTTGTGATTTTATAAATAATATAAATGTTTTATTACTATAATTTAAAATAAATGTAAGTTTTACTTGTAGAACTATTTAAAAAAAATATAAATACCTTTATAAAATACAATTTCTTTTATTTATCTTATCAACATAATATTTTTTATTTTTTTTTACAATTGAATGTGTTTAGATGTTTAACTTAACATTTTTTTAATTATGGTGAGCTTTGTTTCACATGTTCTAAAATATCATCAAATGATACTTCCTCCAATAACTCTTTCTCAACACTCTTCATCATAAACGATTCTAATTTTTCCTGGCTTAGTGATGAACGTAATCTATTTTTTATAATTTTTAACTTGCTAAAATACCGTTCACAGTTAGTGGAAGTTCCACTACTGTTCAAAGGAGTGCTCATTATCGTGTGTATATGCGTATACAATATATTGTCCAAATCGAATTGTAATGATCGATTTTTAATAATCAATTTGGTTTCAGAAGAAATAAAGGAACATCGAAAGCGCTACAAAATAATGGAAGTAATATCCATAAAAAATACTTGTGAGGGTGATTTTGTTATTGGTATTTTTCTTGATGTTAAAAAAGACTTTTATTCTGTAGATCATGATGATATATTATTATTAAAAAAAACTATACATTTATGGAATTCGTGATGTTCGATATTATCTCATCAAAAGTTTTTTTAACAAATCTTAGTGAAAGAGTTAAAATAAATAATGTATTCAACAACTATAACACTTTGAATTACGGAGTTCCACACGGAACTGTGGTGAGACCTCTACTTTTCACTGTATATGTAAATGATCTTCTAGAATTAAAATGTGATGGCTTAATCATGTATTTTGCTGATTATACCTACCACAATACTAATTAATGACCAAAATAAAACCAAACTAGTTTCTAAAGTGACTAAAAATTATGTATGATTTAATAAATGGTTTAGTTCCAATTCCTTAAAATAAATTATGAAAAAATATGTTGTCTTCATTTCATGATTTCAAAGGAAAAAAGTCTTCGAATTATAGACGATATAAAAATAGGTATATAATTTAAAATGTCCTAACGTAAAATCACCAAATTATGACAAGGTTAACTGTAATTATATTCATATTAAATCTGTTGACTCAATTAAATGTCTTGGTGTTACTATTGACAAGCAATTAAAATGGGTTACTCATTGGTATATATGTTAAAAAATTAGAAGTCTTCTCTATAAATTCAAGTCTCTAAAGAATATTTTATTGCCAATCACCATGTGAATGTTTTTTTGTGCACTTGCTCAATCTATTTTTAGTTAAGGAATTTTGTAATAGATTAGAAACAAAAGAACAAAAAAATGGGTAGCACGAGGGGAGTTTAATAAGTATTATAGAAAAACTATAAGATGTTAATTACCTAGTTCATATGTTTGTTTCTATTCCACTACAACTGTATTATTATTGTACATGTGTAACAAGTGTGTTACTTACCTCGACTAGCTGTAAACTATGTGTATATAATATTATAATCTTTATTTTCGAGTCGATGATGCATGTTATTATCTTACGATTTTTAGTCTACAATATCTATTCAATTTAATATAATATACTATATTCAATATTGTGTAAGTATGGTTACCATGTTAAATGTTACTTATATTGGTATTCAACATATTTTGTATTGTTTAGTAATTTACCTTATACCTTATTTAGTTTGTTAAAAATGTATATTAAAATATTATGATTGGATAAAATTATATAAATGATATAGGAGAAAATCGTAGGCAGAAATAAAAATAACATGAGAGTTTTATAAATCAAAACATTTTGAAAATGTTTTCGTGTATAGAAAATGCTAATATAAATATTCAGTCAAAATGTCATGTTCCTACGGTCATTTGTTTAAGAGTTGCACCAAAAACCATAGTCGATATTTTCGAAAACAGATTTTATTGTAAAAATTCCCGTTTTTCCTTAATTTTTATTTTGTTTTTCAGGCCGCTTTTGAAAACTACTAGGAAATTTTCACTTTTGACCCCTCCCCAAGTACCAACTATATTCACTTTCCTATCAGAAAAGCTACTGTTGAAGAAAATCCAAGCACTTTTACTGTCTTAAAACGTGATGACAGACACAAAAAAAAATAAAAAATAACACACATTGTAAAATCAATACATTCATCGTTTCACTAAGAATCTAAATGAGTTATATTATAGGATAATAGCAAAATAAGCATATTTATTTTTTTTTTTTTTTTTAAAACAAAAAGCATGACAAAAATTTACTTAAACGAGCTATAAAATTGAATAAAAATATTGAAAAATGAATTAATAATATCAAGTTATCATGTTATATGTATTCATAGCTAAGAAAATGTGTTTAAGAAATTCAATTATATAATAATATATAGTAATAAAATTTAAAAAAAAAGGTGGGTACGTGGATGTTGCTCTGCTGTACAGTAGGGTACAGTTGGATCACTGTATAATGGATGGTATTAAATTTGAATTCACTGATATAACATCAATTATTGTGTACGTAAAACGATTCTCAAGGAATGATGGTTTGCCAGTGCAGTTATTTTATATTATATTATGTATATTGTGCAGATTATTAATACGGTATCCGGTAAGTTGAATTAGTATCCTAAAATTACTAATATTAATATGTAATTTCTTTCAAATTTTAACATAAAATAACTATAAAAAAAACTGTATTTTTATATTTTTCGGTTACGGTATAACCTAATTATGTTGAAATCATTTTAAATATTCAATTCTTAGCTGTAAAAGTTGAAAATTTTATAAATTATTAACTACAAAATCATTTTTTTAATTTTTAATTTGATAAATGTTGTCAAAAATCGAACTTTAAATGCTTATCAAAATAATGTCCCTTTGTATTTTTAAAATTTTTCAACTGTCATTGTAACAATATTTAGGAACCTTTTATTAAATTGCAGGCTTCTTGACTCAACAAATAACATTTTATTGATATTTATAGAAAAAAAAAAACTAAAAAATTGGTAACTTATCTTTTATTGTGTACCTATAGAAAATGCTAATATAAACATTTGGTGAAATTTCCAAGTGAGAAAAGATGATTTTGAAGAAAATTTCATAATTTATACTGACCTAATAGGTGATGACAGACACAAATAAAAATTAAAATTAAAAAAAAAACACATAATTTTATATAACAAATATATTCATTGCTCCACTCAGAATCTAAAAGTATTAACAACCTTGTATTTTGCTAATATTTTTGCAGACTGTCTGTAGGTCGATAAGCTATCGACGATAACATTATTTTTAATTTTAATACATTTAATAATCAAGTATATTATGAATGAAAACTTAAACAATAATAGTCAATAATAATAATAACAATTTAGTCCGTAGGTACTCCTGATTTTGACATTTCTTATTAATTACCTAAATTAAAATTTTAGCATACCATAATTAACATATTAATACCAATATATTAATTAACAAAAATAAATTGGTTTATTTGGAATCAGAATTACATGAAACAAATTTAAGTACAAAAAAAAATTAGATTTCTATCTCATATACAAAAAAAGAAACATATGCTTTAAAATTATTTAAAAACCTACTTAGGTACGTACTACTAATACTTTGTTGTTCCTTAGATTTTTTTTTCTCTCTCATTGTCATTTTTCAATATAATATCATATTGTAGTTTAATCTTTTATTGCAACACATCGTATATATTGTACTCTATTTGAGCATACGGTCATTAGGGCGTTTATTTTATAAAATAATTAATCATCTGTAATACTAACAAAGAAAAAAATGTTGAAGTACCCAAATAAATGTATTATTATCAAAAATATTATTTTGTTCATTACAGCTTATTATCCACACTTAATATGATGTGTGCTTATGAGTTATGACGTTGAAATTATCTTGATTATTAAATAATAATTTGTAAGCCAACTTTTGAAAGCACTAAACTATGATCAAATGTCAAAAATTTATAAAAAGTTATTATTTCCTTTTTGTAATGTCTGTATGGGATATATTGACTGTACTAACAGATCTATGGTTAACAATAATAATGATACTATTCAAGTTTTAGGAACATTTTATTGCATAAAATATATTAAACAAATCTGTAATTTTATTTTTAAAAGTAATGTTAATACAAATAGGCACTTTACTGTGAATTGCCATAATAACCTTAATTCGGCTATGATAATTAAAAAATGGAAAAATTAATATTATAAAACAAAAATATCTAATATAATGCCACCATGTGTAATAACACTAATCAGTATTTATACAGACTGTTAGGCAGTTAGTAACTTAAATAATATTCAAAACTTATATCTATATTGAAGATGATTTTGAAATAATCTACTTTGCATAAATTAATAAGTGCATATATAAATATTAATTCAGTCATGACATATTTAAAAAAATTTAAAAATAAAATAATTAAAAAAATCTTACTTGATAAATTATTGAAACTATACATTTTGGGATAAATGTGTTTCTTTATAATTTAAAACTAATAAATAAAAATGTTTTTCACAAGTAGTGCACTTGTACATTTTGTTTCCCTATTTCTTAGGTTGGTGTACAGAAATATTGTGTTGATCCATAGCTTCTTCAGTTGGTAAGACAACATGGCAAATGCCACACTCAATTTCAATCAAGTGATCAAAATTGGTATGGTTTTTTTTTTCCGCGTATGTTGTAAACGTGCAATCACAATGATCACACATAAATTTAATTGAAGGATTTGCATAATGTACTACAAAATGATCTTCCATTTCGGTTATGGTATCAAAATAAGCATTGCATTTTACACATTGAAATTCTAATGGAGTTACATTTTGATGGCATTTGGCGTGACGATTAAGACTTTGTTTGTTGAAATATATTTTATTACAGTATTTACAATTAAAGGTATCCTTATGCTGCTTTGAAATCGGTTTCTTAAGCAGTCCTGAAGATTTGTAACAAGTTGAGCATCCTGAACCCTTGAAACTACCTACATTTAAATGAAAGCGAGCTTGATGACTAACTAGGGACATCATTGTTTCTGCTTCAAAATTACATTCACCGCAAATATATACAACTTTGCCATTTTTAACAATAGCCAATGGTTTTTCATTGTCAATTTCTTTATCAATTTTTATTTGTTTTGAACTGTTATTTTTATTGTCAAATAATGACTTATCTGAATTTCGTTTAAGATTAACTGATGTACTTTTCTTTTGCTATAACAAATAACATAAACTTTAAATGATTAATTGCCTATGGTTTTAAAATCTTTATATACATACATTGTTAGTTTTTGAACCTTGATATATGTTTGAATTCCCATTCAATCTTTTTTCAACTGACTCTTTACCTTCATTGTTCATAATTTCTTTAATTATACTTGCATTCTTGTCAATGTGCACAGTATTTTTGCTATTTGTATCAATTGTCGAAGAGTTTTGTTCTTCCAAGTGTAATTTGTTTGTAATCTAATAAGTAATAAAAAGTAAATGAACACATTCAAAAAATATGTGTTTAATAGCACTTACATTTGATGGATCATCTGATGTTTCAATATAAGTAAAATGTATGCCCTTGTAAATGTTCCTTGATAATTCCATATCACATGCTATTGCTTTACTTTTAAAATTGTAGATTAAATCTAGGTTTTCAGCACAAGTTGTACAAATTTTCTGAGGGAAATCATCACCCACTTCCACCTGAAAAACAATTATAAGTTGAATTAAATTATAACAGAAATAATGTAGGTACACAATAAAAAGTTAAGTGCCAACTTGTTGGATCTTTTATCTTGATTAAATTATTAATACCTAGCTGTAAAAAATAAGTTTGATTTAAGAATATAGAATATAGAAGTGAATTTGTGGGTTCAAGTGAAACAAGAGGTATCCAAATACAGTGAAAATTCCATAATATAACAAAGTCACTTGGGGAACAAAAAAAAATTGTAATATAGAGGAATTCGTTAAATAGAATTAACTCATGGTTAACAATGAAGGTCATGGTCATGGTTCTCACAAATAATTCCTTAAACAGAAAATGTTGTTAAATGGAATATTTTGTTATATGAAAGTTTCTTTGTATGTATAAGTAAAGTATATGGATTACAAGTACTTAAAGACCAGATTTATATGCATTTTAAATTGTAAAATAAACACTAGTAAAATATTTTTTTAAATATGCAATAAATATTATGCAGAAAATGAACAGACGCCAGAAGATGCAAAAATATACAGTATGTAATTTTTATATTTAATCAATCAAGTAATTCATGGACACTCTTTGACTGCATGTAGTATTATGTATATGATATTGAAAATAGCAACATGCATTTTATGCAAATTACGGTCTTTAATTATGAGCTTAACAGAATTTGATTCATGCTGCCGGAAAGCTGATCTTTAACAAATTCAAATAAAATAATAGCTAGTAATTCTTTGGAACGTATAATTGCACCACAATATATTATTGATAAATAACACTCATAAATTTAAAAAAAAAACCTGGAATATATTTTAAAACAAATATAGGTAGATACACCATTTCAATTAGATTTGGTTTAGTAACGAAATGATTCTTTAACAACTAGAATATTAATCTAAGCTTTAGACATTGTAAATTAACAAAACTTTAAAAAGAAAAGGTTAACTTTAATTAACAAAAGGTACCTATCATTAGGTTTGAAGGACATACTAGTCTCCAAACTGTTAAAAACTGAAATACAAGATGAAAGAGGAGTAGACAGTTAAATATATTTTAAGCGACAATTAACCTAATTACTTATTACCCAAACCTTCATTCAATTAATTAATTTGACATAACTAACAAAGCATTGTTTGGAAGGAATGAGTTCCAAAAGGAACAGATTGCAGGAACGAATTCATTTTTAAAGAACAGTACATTGAACAAATTCTATTATATATATATATATATATATATACCTAATTTGCTTGTTGGAGAATTAATATTTTTATTTTTATTTAATTAATTCAATCGTTATCGAGTATCAACGGTAATCGTTACTCATTAATCATTATAGTCATTACTCATTATAGTCACTTTATTAATATTTCTTATAGTTATAAGTTATAATTTATATAGAAATGAGTAAATATATTTAACACCTATAATTATTTACAACAATAAACGATAGGACAGTCGACATACGTCAGCCAACAATTTAATTTTGAAGAAAATCTCAAAATAGAATTATAAAAATAATGTGTACCAAATGTAGGTATATATATTATAATTAAAAATTAAAGAAGTATGCATATGAATAATAAACATTAATGTTTAAATAAGAATTTTTTTTTTTGAAGGAACAAGGAACGGAACGAATTCCTCTATTTAAAAAATTAACGAGGAATGAAACTAATTTCTTTTTATAAGGAACTTACCAAACACTAGATAAATGTAGGTATAACTGGTATAAGGTATAGGAATTTTCATGTTTGCACAAAATTAAATCAAATTTTACACACAAAATACTAAACAACAACTAAAAATTACTTAAGTATAATATTATTTGTTTTTTAACATTATTATTAATATAAAATGAATGTGATAGATTGATAAATTTTAAACTCTATTTTGAGTTGGTATTTTTAAAAATGGATACCTACTGAATAGATTCAGTTTAACTTTAACTAACAACAATATACTAAAAATATACTAAATAAATGACAGAACATACGATTAGTGAAGTACAGTATTGAATTTTTTCAACAATTGATGTGTTTTTGCCAATATTCTGCCCTATGTGAACTGTTACATTGGTAGAGCTGAAACATAAACGGCAATCCTCCAGTTTCTTTTTAATTAAATCCTCGCGTTCTCCCATATTGGAAAAATAACTAAAATACTATAGTTTTGAAATAAATTAACCAATTTATAGAGCAAATGGAGAGTAAAAATACTTGAAATGAAAAAAAAATAAAAACCGGGACGTAAATCACTAAATTAGGTATCTATTAACGTTGATACAATACACCTTGATAACGGGCAATAATTCCAATATTGTGACCATAATAATTATGTCCAGCACCACGGTCGTGGCGCGAGCTAAGCAATTAAAATAATATAGAGGCGCGGCGGCACGACAATGTTATATTATTATTATCTCGATGCAGGAGTTGCCCATTTAAACGGTGTACATTTTGGTGTTTTTTTTTAACCGCTAATACACCTAACTAATTATCGACTAAATCAATTAAAAAAAATTGGGAAAAATCAGAACAATTGTGCAGATGATCTTATGAAAAAATCATCAAAATCGTACTGTTTGAAATTAAGTTATTAAAGGAAAAGTGCAAACTTTTTAATGATAAATTATAGCAATATCTTGAATCACGGCGGCCGGCGGCTTCATATTATCACGTTGTCGTGCTGACCGATTGGTCCCCACTCCATTTCGTGTACACGACAAATTTCATTAATGCTAATTCACGACGACGTACGTCCGTGACACGATAATATTAAATCGTAGTCCGTGTTCACGACCACGGTTATCTACACTGGTCACTGAGTGAACACGGTGTAGAATGTAGATAACAGTGTTAACGGCTATTTATTATTTATTTAATTTCGTCTGTCGACTAGGTTCATTATAAAATCACCATAATATACGATATACCTTAATTTTGTTATATTTTATTTAATGTGATTAGTTAAATTGTAATTATTCCTAGTATTGGTTTGTTAGTGTGTTCGCACCTTGCCTACAATAATATATTGGTATTATTTAATTATAAATATGCCAACTAAAGTTTACAAACAAAGAATAAAAAATAATCAAAAGTAGGTACCTACTTACTGAATAAAAAAAAAGAAACTTCGTGATAAAATAAATTTCCAAAAAAAACTGTTGTCTGGACAATTTTCTAAACAATTGGTGGTATCACAACAAAAACACGACTTCGTCAAACTCCGTGTAAAAAACGGCTAAGTAAAAAAAAAAAAACTAGGCCTCAAGGGACACCTGGCACTGGCTGGCAGATGTGAAACATCAACAATTTTCTTTTGGTAATAACGTTGAAAATTGAAAGGCCACGGTCGACGGGTAGTCGACATCTATAACATCACCCTAACTAGTGTAGTTATCCCTCACTAACGCTTATATTTTTGAGTTCAAAGACGTTGACGGTTGAATAGGAGAAAAGGTTGCAGAGACAATTTACACAAGTATTAGGTATAAGTAGTTTTATTAACGTTTTAAAAAGTAAATGATCACAATTAAGTGTAATATAAATTTGAGGACAGAGCGAAAAGCATCTGCCCGAGAAGTTAGTTACGTACAGGTACAGTATGTACGTAGTGCAAACTCTAAACTAATTCTAATTTTGCAATAGACATCAATACATCATCTTATATTTATATGAAATCTATGCGGATATAAAAGTACACGGTAGAGTCTAGGAGATGGATATTTGAAAGGAGCCTGGGGCTGGATGTTGTTATTGCCAAAAGACCCGAGTGGCTTATTGGCAATTTTAATAGGTTTGTTTTCGCATTATTTTGGCAAAGTGAAGATCGAGTGAATTATGGTTTTGTTTTCGCATTATTTTGATAAAGCGAAGATCCGTAAATTAATCGTTAGATTAATTTTTTAATTAAACTGCCAAACCCAAGGTATTGGAAAAGACTAATAGTATTGTTGTTGTCCAGCGTGCCCATCATGAGAAATGTAATTAAAATATTGAATATAAGAAAGCGACTCCGTCGGTTTACTACACTAGGTACTTGTCTACAAATATAGTGTTCACTTTGACGGTTCATAATTTTGATTGGTGATGAGATAACGTTTTCAAATATTTTTTTTTTATTGAGCTTGAGCCCGGCAACTTTGGTTTTGCTGTTGGTTTTTGTTTGTTTGTTTGTAGGTTGTTAGTAGGGGGAGGAACGGTTGGAAACACGTTTTTGTATGTGTGGCAAGGATTCGTTGCTAAAAAACCCGGGTGGTCACCCATCCGGGAACTAGCAACGCCGGACGTTACGTACACTCAGTGCGTTTCCGCAATTATAAATATGTTATATTCGGTCAGGTACTGTCTCAGCGTCTCAAAAATCTAATGGTATAATTGGTGTTTATTTTTTGTTTATTTTTAGTGTATGTATAGGTACTTATTTTTTACACGAAATGACGATGTCTTCCAGTGTCGGACTGGCATACCAAAGGCCCATGGATCAGTTTTTTTAAGGGGCCCCCAAAAAATGTACACCGTATTTCGTTGAAACAACATATTAAGATACTTCTTTAAATATAGGTACTTTACATTTTTACTAATATGGATCATAATATACAATATATATCATAACCATGATTCATGAGTTAACTTAAATATAAAAGCAATTTTACAACTAATTATTTTTGAAATAGGTACCTACCTATACCTAGTAAGAATATTTTAAATAATAAAACACAATTTTTAAATAAGTAATTTTTTTAATTCATTAGATGAATATGCTATCGTCTCTATCAATTTTTGAGTGTCAATAGCTATATTTTTTTCTATAGCCATCAACATTAATGGAGTAAGGTGATTTTAATGTAACGTTGAGCGAAGTTTCGTTTTTATACATTTAAGCTTTGAAAATACCCTTTCGCAAGTTGTTTGTGTTGATGGCAACAACAAAGCAAACTTATATATAACAAATAAATTTGAAAATAAATTTGACTGGCATGATAATTCTCGTACAATTAAAAATGCACAGTGAATACATTTGTTACACTTATTGCAATTTACTGATTTTGATATTTCATCATTATCTTCATCACTCACATCTTCATTTCTTAAAAGTAACTTATCTTCTGAATCACAATCGGTAGTATATTTAGGTATTTGTGGTATAAAATGTTCATATTGACTGGAAAATTGTTTCAATTCTGTTAAGATTACTTGATGATTCAGTCCAGATATTTTACATATAGTACTCAAAGCTGATACAGGCAATAATTCAGTGTTGTTAAATACTGCAAAACTTCTAGGGTCCAACCAGTTCAAGTCTTTTAATAAATTTTCATTTTTCATGAATCGTGTCTCAATACTATTTTGAATAGTGTCTATAATTAAAAAAGTATCATATTTAAATTTATTATATGGAGATATAATTCTTGATTCATCATTACACTTTTTCCCAGAAAGTTTTTTTTTTTTGAAATACGTTTTATTGGAAAATCTTCTTCACAAAAGTGATTATTTATTTTTTACAAAAATGTTGACATTTTTTATATAAATTTAATACATACTCATCATTTCTTTTTTTCTCAATTTCTTTTTTTATAGCAGCTATCATATTCCATGCTTGTAAATAATTTATAGTTTTAGTTTGTAGATAAATTGACACCGGAGTTGTAGCTGAATAGCTATACGTATTATACTAGTTATATTAGTCGACAATATTTTTATAAATAACTATAGTCGATAGTCGATACTCGATGGGATGTGAGAAAAACATTATATAATATTTATAAATAAAAGCATTATAATACAATATTAACGCAAAGCCGACGCGATGGAAATCATTCGTTTAAAAATAAACTATGAAACATTTGAAGCTACAAAACAATAAATAATAATTATTAATTCCACAGAAATGAAATTACGAAAACTAAAATTATATTTCCATTATAAAATTTCAATTTAGGAGACATATCCGTAAGCTATATAAGAATTATATTATTTAAGTAGCTTTCAAAAGTAAATGTCATACCTTCATCATTATTATATCTTTATATATTATACATTTATACAGATATTATAGACGTATAGTATTGTAAATTAATACATAATACATTTTTTTCTATGCAATATTTGCATGATTCCAACAGCGGGGCACTGGGGCCCCTGCAGGGTCGGACAAGCGGGGTCCTCGTGGTCTCGTCTAAGTCCTATAAAACCTAACTTAACTTGCAGTAGTGCAATTAATCCAAAAAACCTGCTCTAACTTATTACTAGACAATTTCATTTTACTATTATTCATCATCATATTATAGGCCATAGGGAATGCTGGACAAAATTGACGACACTAAAAAAAAAAAAAAAAAGAAGGGGCCCCGGCCGCATTCGCGGCCCAGCGGCCATGGCCAGTCCGACACTGATGTCTTCAAACGTCGATAACAATAACATACCATAATATAATATATTATAATATACTCTATTGTTGTTGTTACGTCTGGATATAATTAATTTAATAACATATCTTCGGATGTATACAGCGTGTTCCTTCAATATACAGAATGATTGAAAAATATAAAATTATTTTCATCACTAATTATTGAATTTATTTTTGAAAGAAAAATTATTACGAGCAGTAGGTACCATCAGTATTTATATTTTATTTTTTTCTACTCTTTAATTATTTGTATAACAATAATCCAATAAGATTATAAGATTAATTATTATTAATTATGTACAGAGGCATAGGCGTAAATTAGGGGTGCTAAGAAACCCAAACTTAGCCGTAGCCCCCCCCCCCCCAAAAAAACCTAGGACATACAATTTTAATATGCTATATTGCAATGGTCTGCTTGCCTTTAATATATTCAGCCCCCCCCCAAATAAAAAGTTGAAATTGCGCCTATGTACAGAGGATATTATAATAATATACAAATTGCAGAGCGCGGGGCGCCGGTGTCGATGCATAGTCGACCGGAAGTATTTTCGGCCCTGCGGTACGGGCTACGCGCCGATAATAGCCACGAAGCTCAACGCGATAAAGATTAATGCATAATCACAGATATCTATATTGTACAATATATAATTTATAATGTAATATAGATATCTGTGTACCTACATGGCTACATAATATACTGATATATAGTGATATACGCATATATAAAGC